TCCTCAGGAAATCCATCGGGAGCTTTTTGAAAATAGACAATCTCATTTTTTTTTGCTGGTTACTTTAAACTTTGGTGTATTGGCATTTCTATTCCCACAGCTTTCTAACACTGTATATCAACTTTCCACCTTGGTTCATATAAATTTACAATATGTTTTTTATAAGCATTACCTAAAAAAAAATCTACTTCAAACATTCCTAATGAAAAGGAGAAAGAACACACATTTAGGCATAAATCTGTTCAATTCATTATCAAGAGATGTGCCACTGCATATTTACAATAAATCATTGCTGTTATATGTCGACAACAAGGTGGAGTGGCGGTGCAGTGGTTAGCGTTCTGGGCGATGAACACGGCAAGACCTGAGTTCGATTCCAGGCCAGCCACAACATCAATTGCAAGTGACATCAAACTTGGTCTTGTCCTACCATCCCCTCATCCACCACTATCCCTTCACAACCCACACTGACCAGCATGGTGAAGTATGGTAAACAAACGTGGCCGACAGTACATAGGGAGGTCTTCATTGTGTCAGTGGACTGCGAATGGCTGGAATTTACTGTTTATAACCGCTACATGGAATTGATTTACCCTAGAAATAAATCCTTCACAGTTCAGCAATTATAAAGCATGTAAAAAAGCATCGATGCATCGATACACTTTCATAAAATCAAACCGTCACACTCTTGAGAGAAGCAGTGAGTTACATTGCATGGTGGTCTAGCTACAGAGGCATACATACAATGACAATGAAGGTGTGTTGCTTCTTGGCAGCTGCAGCCTTGTGGATATAACAAGTTGCAGGGCAGAGACAACAGTGAAGCTAGAGACGACAAAGATTCTTAAGATTTAACATCAATTAAAATTAATAAGAGTAAAATAAAAATGAAATAAAAATCACGTTTCGGAGGCAACACAAGCTTCCGTCTTCAGGTGGAACCGTCACAGCACGATAGCTGTATCAAGTGAGAGAAATTCCAAGAAAACAATATTTGTATATATACCGGTTGAGGGTGAAAGGAGCCAAGGTAGGCCCTGAATATAATTTTTGTGAGGTTCGGTGCGGCTGAAGCACGCGGCTAGGAATGAGCCTTTGTTGTGTAAACTAGGTGCGGATGAAATACAAATATTGTTTTCTTGGAATTTCTCTCACTTGATACAGCTATCGTGCTGTGACGGTTCCACCTGAAGACGGAAGCTTGTGTTGCCTCCGAAACGTCGTGATTTTTATTTTATTTTTATTTTACTTTTATTAATAAAAAAATTTTACCTACGTGACTTTACCGAAAAAAACCTAAGAATGTGAATCCTTGCAGTCACGAAAGTTTCAAATCTAGAATTTAACATCAAGTCACGTCAGAGTGTTGCCTCCCAGGACCCTCGGCGCATTCCAATTTTTCTACGCAACTTTTCAATTCTAGTTTTTCCTACTCAAATACTGCACGCACGAGAGATGTAATTAACCTGCGGCTGCACACCCACGAGTACAATACAAACAGCGAAAGGAATAGGAATTCCAGGTGAGACGGAAAGAATGATACGCTCCACAACGATAACGGCACGTTTCACTTGGGAGGATGCACGGGTGGGTACAATGCAGCGCAACACCCTTTTCCTAAGGGGGGGGGGTGCTCAAGATCATCGAGGGAGTTACAAATAATTCACACCATACTTCTAACACCATATCGTCATGTTTCGCTTTCATTTGTTTTAATATCATTCTTAATCCTTCAGGGCGCAAGGCTCACAGCGGCACAGATATGTGAACAGACATGACCGAGCGTACAGAATCTTGCGCGGCCCGGCATGTCAAAGGCTTCGCAACACTCCGTTCCACCCTCACCACAGCACACGCCTTGAAGCTCTGCCCCCCCCCCCCCCCCAGTGCATTCGAGCCACTCTGCATTTCACGCCCGTCACCATCGGCTATTAGCATGAACTTGGCTGTTACCTGCATCCACTTTGAGTGTTTGTAAAAATGACATCTTGGCTGGTGTCCACGGATCTAATATTTTTATTTTATTTAAAAAATGGAACCGAGCCAGGACAGCATGGCGATATAAAATTTGAGGAAATCACCAGGAACATAATGATTTAGTAATCACGGGTGGATGAATGAGTGGTTTGTTCAATGTTGACTGTGACAGCTACACAATTGCATTCTCTTGCAAGTATTGTTAAAATTACATTGTGATCATACAAGCTATTAGTAATTGTGTTTGTGTCATAACAATGCACGTAGCAGGGGGTTATTACCATAAATGTGGTTAAATTCGGACTGGTCATTACTGTAAGCATAAGCTAGTATTTTGAATTCTATTAAGCCATTAAAATATATATAAAGATACGACAATATTGTAATACAATAACAAAACTATGTTATGCATTCAGCTACATTAAATGATGTATAATTATAGCGCAGTGGTTGACACTCCACGTTATGTTTAACAAATTTACCAAGTAGTCATAATTCAAGACTTTGAGCGAAACGACCTGGGAACAATGTGGTCCTGTCCACATCTTCATCTAAAATCCCAAAATGGAATCATGTTAATGTTGTGGGTTTACTCTCTAAAATTACGGTGTGTGCTGAACCGGTAACTAATTGCCATGTTTTCACGTGACAAACCTTACTAATTGGCGGTGTCGGGTGGTGGGTTAAACGACACATTTATATTGCCGCTAACCCAACATAACCTCTTATGGACTACATGTCATGGCTACCATCAGCCACGAATGGCATCTGAGCCAATCTTGCACACCTCCCCCCCCCACCACCACCGCCGCCTACGTTAACCAGGATGGTGAAGTATGGTCAAACAATCTGCCATGACACAAAAGACGAGGCCTTCATCCAGCAACTATTATTGACCAAGGGGTCTAATTTATTGTTAACGATTTAACATCTAACTGCCTAGCCAACAGCATCATTGAATCAACCGTGTAACGAATGAGTCACTTAAAGAGCTAGCTTAAAGGCCTCTTAAAACTCAGGGTTCCCGCACAAATACCGACTTTGAATTCATCAAAGTTTATGTCACTGTAGCTGCTGGTGCAGCAAGCGGCTAAATCATTTAGGAAAGCAATCTGCCCGAGCAGTTGGCACCAACTCACTCAATCGGGCATTTCGGTAGGGCAGTGTTTGCACCCTCATGTGCCCTGACACATCTAAAGTGCCCACTAAAATAATTCATTGCCCTGTTTGCTTTCAGGGCAAAAAGCCCGCCCACAGTCGCTCCAAAAACAAGAATGTGTGTGGCTTCTCTCTCCCGTCATTATTCTAATGGCATTAAACCACATCTCGACTTAGGCCGCATCCCAGACACAAGCTCATATTGTGTTTAATGCCCCCCCCCCCTCCTCTACATTATTACTGACCCCCTTGTGCAAGCAGCTGATGGCCTGCAGGAAACTGTCTGCTCTGGCTGCAAAATCGGGCACTGATGGGCATGCATGGCTTCCTATGGTCTGAGTTTATTATCAGTGGGAGCAGCGGGGGAAGCCTTGAAGCTGTGATGCTATGGATCCCCCGAGGGCTGGACCCTATGCCACATGCACCTGGTGCAGTGGATAGGCTGCACCTGGGGCTAAGCCACATTTGTAAGTGAAGGTGGAGCAAGAGGCATTCATAAAACAATACGCATCTCATGCGCCTCTTATACTTGTAGACATTCACGTTTACTTTATGCTGTTATTTACGCTGCATTTTACAATAGCACGTTGTCCAAATGTTCTGCCTGTCCTCTGTCAGCATTCCAACATTGCTCGATTCCCATTTTTTTATCTCTTGCAAAGGAGACGATGTAACGCAAAAAGGTTTCATACCCAGATTAGTATCACACACAAACAAAATGTCAGGAGGGAATTGATAAAGCCATGCCATCAAAAAACGTTTCTTTCAACACTTTGTAATAGTTTATTTTTTTATTTTGCATGACCGACCATGTCTGAGTTACGATCGACTGATAGACATTTTAAAAGAAGGAATGTCAGGGCTGACATCCGCTTACACAATAATATCAGGTGCCTGCAGGACTTGGCACCATACTCACATCTGGACGATTTACCCCATTGCTGGTGATGGGGCCCTGTGCTAATTTTCATGAAAAATGTCCCCAAAGGAACAATCACCAACATTCACCAACACATGCATTGGGTCTTTGTTAGCGTTAATCACTTGGACTATTAGAATTTTTTTTTTGTCCTTGGCACAATTTTTCACCCACACAAAAAAAATACGATTTATTTTATACTATAAACTAAACCTTTTTTTATTTTATCAGGTAAGGCCCACCCAGCTATAGAGGTATTTTTCAGAAGTGACCTGCCCACAAATAATGAAGTGGCTTGTCATGTGGGAATTTCTCGCAGCCAAATACTCTAAACGCGTGTTTCTAAATGTGGCGGGAAAAACTGGAGGACCCGGGGAAAAATCCACTCAACCACAGGTAGAACATGTAAACTCCAAATATACAGGCGTCAGGGTTGGGATTGAGCCCACGACTTCCTGTACACCAGGCAAGGCCGTTAACATCTCGACACTGCAGCACCCTGAAGATACTTGGCAAAGACCTTTCAGAAAGTGCACCTTGAGATACGGCAACACATTCCTGGACGAACAAACTAGAGCAGTTTAATTCACCTCGGACATTTCCTTTTCGGCCACTAAAACTTCACTCGTACAATCACGTCATCGAAAATAACGATTTACATTCGGTCACGTGACAACCCCACCGAATTAATAGAGGATTTCCAGAAGAAGAAAACAACCTTTTAATTCAAAGCCTCTAGCAATCTCGATACACTCATTAAATCTTCCAAGTCTCTCTCCTTCGTAAGACGTGGATCCATCGCTTTCACAAAAATTCAAACACTTGCCGAGAAGAAAATGAAACATTACAAATCAGTGGGCGATCTTTACAACTGGATTTGACTGGTGAATAAAGGGCTTGTTTGAGGCCTCCTCCTGCTCCAGCACCCCCCACCGTCGAGTCTCACCTGTAGGCGATGGAGAGGGCCCAAACGCTCGCTGCGCAGTACAGGCTGTCTCGAACCTTGGACTCGTTGTTCTCCCCGCCGGTCTTGGTCAGAAACAGCCCCGTGGTGGGACTCTGAAACTGCAGGATAGTCGCCTTCACTGCAGGGTCACGGGGAAAAAAAGCACACGTCAACAAAGAATGAGACATCGTAATACAGGCTGTTTTTGGGTTAGATCACGTTAATATATAAATGTCGTTAAACCCGCCACCACCCGGCACAGCCAATTAGTAAAGTTTGCCACGTAAACAGAACATTCTAATTCGTTACTAGTACAGCACACCGGTGTGTTGGAGAGCCAAGCCACAACATTTACCATCTGAGTACGACGTTTCACCAGTAATTACAACTAGCTACATCAACCGACAGTAAGATTTGTGAAGTCCTCCTGTTTCGTTATGGATGATATTGGTCGCAAAAGCCTAAGTGTCAAAGAATGAGACAATATGGGAACTCAAGTGAGGCAATGAGACAAGATACTTGTCAAGCGCTCGGTCGATCCTTGTCGTGACAACACGGCTTCAAAGACGATATCGTTCGACCGCCGCCATCAGCCGTCCCGATCAACTTGAAAGTTCAGAATATGAGCTTGGCAAGAACATGTCGCAGATGCAATTGGAAAGAGAGGTCACGATGTGTGGAGCATATGCACAGGATATCCAAGTGCAGGCTACTGGAACAGGTATTTGATTGGGGCACACAAAACACGTGAAGCGTCAGGAAGATCTCAAGTTATTGTGGGAGACCGTACCTGTGATGTAGGTTGCCAACATTGCAACACCCGAGCGGTCTCGCAGAAGGGAGTGATGGCAATGTGTGGTGGGGCTCTCAATAGCATTGGTCCGATGATATCCTTATTTAAGTTTGTCTGCCCACACGTAAAATATCTGCACTGCAGTAAGTTGGCAGGCACATTGTTTGTGGTGGTGAAGTGTGGTGACACTCCGGATTTCTCTTGATCAGCGATAAACAATTTGGAACTGCCCCTAAAAATAGGACCTCCATTTGCACGAAGACAAATATTGCATACCGTGCTGGACGTAACCTTAGGTATAGTGTATCAATAACCCTAGGTATAACATATCAATGACCCTAGGTATTGCGTATCAATAACGCTAGGTATAGCATATCAATAACCCTAGGTATAGCGTACCAATAACCCTTGGTATAGCGTGTCAATAACTCTAGGTATAGCATATCAATAACCCTTGGTATAGCATATCAATAACCCTAGGTATAGCATATCAATAACCCTTGGTATAGCATATCAATAACCCTAGGTATAGCGTATCAATAACCCTAGGTATAGAATATCAATGACCCTAGATATGGCGTATCAATAACCCTAGGTATAGCATATCAATAACCCTTGGGAGAGCATATCGATAACCTTAGGTATATTGTATCAATAACTCTAGGTATAGCATATCAATAACCCTAAAGGATAGCGTATCAATAACCCTAGATATAGCATATCAATAACCCTAGGTATAGCGTATCAATAAACCTAGGTATAGCATATCAATGACCCTAGATATGGCGTATCAATAACCCTAGGTATAGCATATCAATAACCCTAGGGAGAGCATATCGATAACCTTAGGTATATTGTATCAATAACTCTAGGTATAGCGTATGAAAAACCCTAAAGGATAGCGTATCAATAACCCTAGATATAGCACATCAATAACCCTAGGTATAGCGTATCAATAACCCTAGGTATATCGTATCGCCAAGTCAACTGAAAAGAAGACAGGTCAGAATCTTCAACTATAATTGGTGTTCAGAATCTTCAATTATAATTGGAATAGAGATGTAAACGCCAGTAAGTCACTCTCATTGTTCATTCGCGGAGACACCAAAAGCATTCTTAAATATTGTAACTTGCATACCTTAATCTACAGTTCTTTCTACGCCAACAGCATTGTTATATTCATGCAACTGAGGCAGCCTCGTTATAATGATGCAAACGAAATAAAATGTTTTACAACGTTTGTGTACACTGCGAAAGTTGGTAATCGGTACCCGAACATGGCCCCACTCACTAGAGTATAATGTAGATCCACATTAATACTCATAATCTAATTTGGCACCACTGCTATAGCAAAAACATTTTCTGTTACGAAACTTTTAAATTATACGAGTGGGATTTTTTTTAAATAACAAGTAGTATGCAATGAGAACCTCCTGCAGTTCTTAGAAATTACAAACGCAGGATCAAGCGTAAGAGAACACAGTGAGAAAAAAACCCACCTAACTTCGCGCAGATATAATTAACATTGAACAATTGCAAATAAATTGTCACCTCGGGCTTTTGTCTGCCGAATTCCTTTGCCCCTTCCCGTTTTATCAAGATAAAAAAAACAATAAAATAAAAAACACACAATTACAAACAAATTAGTGCAATACAGTGTGGCCTCGCTATTCAATTGCGAGCACTTCAACAGTGTACAAAGTTAATGAACAATCTTTAACGACTCTTTAGTGAATCTCAATTGCTTCTCCCACAGTTTATGAACGTAAACCGATGCATGGCTGCACTGCACAACGTCTGTTGCTATTGGAGAGGGCTCACTGTGAAAAAGCCATCGAATTATTTTCATATTCTTCGTTTTTTTTGGTAAAGTCACGTAGGTAAAACATTAAAATTAATAAAAGTAAAATAAAATAAAAATCACGACGTTTCGGAGGCAACACAAGCTTCCGTCTTCAGGTGGTACCGTCACAGCCACGACAGCTGTATCAAGTAAATGAGAGATTGCAGGAGCTACCACTCCGTTTATATAATGGTTGGAGAAGGTGGTGGGGCAAGGGCCGCATACTTATTATTAATATGGTAAGGTGAGGCTTAAGAGGGTGAGCCTTTGTTATGGAGAGGTACGGTTTGTGATTAAGCCTGGCCTACATAACAATAGTGTGAAAAGAGAAACACTATTGTTATGTAGGCCAGGCTTAGTCACAAACCGTACCTCTCCATAACAAAGGCTCACCCTCTTAAGCCTCACCTTACCATAGTGTGTCGTACTTGGCCCTTCCCCCCTCTCCAACCATTATATATACGGAGTGGTAGCTCTTGCAATCTCTCATTTACTTGATACAGCTGTCGTGGCTGTGACGGTTCCACCTGAAGACGGAAGCTTGTGTTGCCTCCGAAACGTCGTGATTTTTATTTCATTTTACTTTTATTAATTTTAATGTTTTACCTACGTGACTTTACCGAAAAAACCTAAGAATATGAATCCTTGCAGTCACGAAAGCTTCAAATCTAGAATTATTTTCACATTAACGTAAATACGTTTCAATAATCGTGAAAAGCAAGTGTGCTGAAGCAACGACGACAAATGAATTGTTAAACCAATTTAAACTTAAATATTTTTTTCTATTTTACCAGGTAAGGCCCACTGAGCTGTATATCTCTTTTTCAGAAGCGACCTGGTCACAACGAAGTGGCTGATCAGAGGAGAATTCATAGGAGCCAAATACTCTAAATGCATGTTTCTAAATGTGCAGGAAAAAACCGTAGGACCCAGAGAAAAAGGACACGCGATCATGGGGAGAACATGTAAACTCCAAATATACAGGTGTCAGGCTCGGGATCGAACCCATGCCCTCCTGCGTACCAGGCAAGGTAGTTAACATCTCACCACCGCAGCACCCCTAAAAGTTAACCACTGACGAGTTCCAATTTAAAATAACACGAATCACCGTGTGCGATTTTGATATCGTGCAAACATCAATCAAATCCCCGTTAGTGGTTCGTAAGTAATTGGTAAGATTTAAAATTTACAGCCTCGGCGTGAAATTGATTGGACGCGACAGTGTTTTAATGTGAAATGGCCATCGCTGCATGTTCCGACATTGAAGGATGTGAGCGAAACCTCGGATGATGTCATGTGACGCACAAGCAAGAGCCTGCAGCAGTCCGCTCATCACAATGGGTCGCGGTAATGCGAAAAGGCATTGCATCAAGAGGAAAACTGAGTGCAACGTTTTGGCAACACTTTGTGTTCCCGAGAAATCATTTAATTTGTTTGTAGAAATTTCTCTCCGGCTTTTGTTCGTGAGCCAAACAATTAAGGGAGTTTTTTTTTAATCCAGTATATTTGCAGCCCTTTTTTTTTTACATCGTATGATCCAAACAAAGCTCGCCAGAGTCTACTTTATTAGCATGGATTTGGGGTCTCGCTGCATTGGCGTTATTGACGAGTGCCCTCTATCCATTTAGAGTGTTGCAGCGCACGCTCGCATATCAACTGGGATTCTCGATCTGCCGACGGAATAAATGCCGTTCCCTATGCCAATGCTACCGACTTAAATTAAGCACGTTATAGACTGCACAATGAGAAAAAGTCCCCACACTTCCCCCCCCCCCTCCACCCCACCCCACTTTTAACCTTATTGACTGTTAGTGAGAAAGTGTTGTTAGTGAGCATCTATTTAGGACCGCAATTCATTCCGCAGGAATGCGCTCTGTAAGCACCGCTCCCAGACGGCTCTACCTCTCCCCTCCCCCCCATTTGCCGAGGTTCACGCAATCGTACCGAGAAAATATTTCAGGTCAAGTCAACCTAGGAGAAGTCCAGGCCACGATTAAATATCGATTTCTCGTGAGATTCAAGGCATAATACCAAATTCAGGTCAACAGAATCCCAACGCAGTGGAACAAGCTACAATAACAATGACCCCCCCACCCCCACCTTGTAGCCTTAACAGACTTCTGGAGCAAGTGCTGTTTGCGAGCACCAATGAATGCCAGCAAGGTACACGAGTGGATGGGATGGGTGGCCAGCACCACACAAGCGACTACACACACCCCATCACTCTCACATACAGCGTAACACATACACACGCGCTAACAGTCCACAGATAAAAAGAAGAGGTTCAAAAACACAGGATGCATGCTAAAACGTGTCATCTAATGTTGCCTTCATTATTTTGAAGCCAATTTTAATGAACACGTTTTCACATTACGCATTGAAAGATAAACAAAGTTGCAATGTTGACATTTGAACGAAACACGCAGGTTCTTGCAGTGCTAATATACAGCAGAACTTCAATAATCCACATTCCGATAATTCCCAGAATGCAGATAGCAAGTGG